GGTTGCCAATTCCAGGTTGGGAAATTCCTGGAGATTTGAGGGGTGGAGCCTGGAGAGGGTGGAGTTTGAGGAGGGGTGGGACCTCAGACAGGTACAATGCCATAGACTCCACTCCACTCTCCAAACCAGCCATTTCCTCCTTAGAAACCATTGCTGCCATTCTCCAGGGGAGAGGTGGATATCACTCAGAATTAAAACTGCTCTCCATAGAGATCAGTTCCCCTCGATAAAACGGCTGTTTTACAGGGTGGACTCTGTGTCATTATACCCTACTGAGGTTGTTTCCCTCCTGCTCGGGTCCCTACATACTAAGAAAGACTATATTTTCCTAGGTGGGGGGAGATGGAAAGCTGAAGCCAGAGGGGCAGATAAAGGTAGGTTGATGGTTGGCTGGGAAAGGAGATAGGGTTGTCAACTCCAGGTTGGGAAATTCCTGGTGTTTTGAGGGGTGGAGCCTGGAAAGGGTGGGGTTTGTGGAGGACTGGGACCTCAGAAAGATACAATGCCATAGACTTCACTCTCCAACCCAGCCATTTCCTCCTTGGGAATCATTGCTGCCAATCTTCAAGTAAAAGGTTGTGATCACTCAGAATTACAACTGCTCTCCAGATGGAAGAGATCAGTTCCCCTGGAGAAAATGGCTGCTTTGCAGGGTAGACTCTGAGGTCGCTTCCCTCCTGCTTCGGTCTTCACTGTGTAGAAAGACTTTACTTTTCCTAGGCAGGGCCTGCTTGTGGGGGGGAAGATGGAAAGCTGAAGTCAGGGGGCAGATAAAGGTAGGTTGATAGTTTGCTGGGAAGGAGCTAGAGTTATCAACAGGTTGGGAAATTCCTGGGGTTTTGAGGGGTGAAGCCTGGAGAGGGTGGGGTTTGTGGAGGGGTGGGACCTCAGACAGATACAATGCCATAGACTCCATCATCCAAACCAGCCATTTCCTCCTGGAGAACCATTGTTGCCAATCTCCAGGTGAGGCCTGGAGATCACTCAGAATTACAACTGCTCTCCAGATTGCAGAGATCAGTTCCCCTGGAGAAAATGGTGGGCTCTGTGTCATTATACCCTACTGAGGTCACCACAGCAAATTGATGCTGAGTGCACAAGGCCAGGGCACCCACCCAGAGCTTCTTTCTAGAGCTCTTTGTATTTATTTCCATGAGAGGCCTTATTCCTAGTATGAAATAAGATACTGAGGTATATTTTTCCTTTGATGTTAATCACAGAATCATTCTTTAGTTACATTTGCCAACCCAGCAATGTGTTCTCTGCATTAAAATTACAGAACTTCCAAAAAATATGTTTTCCATGTTTTTCAGTACTAGTCATGTTGAATTTGGATGGCAGTAGATGTTTGCAGGTGTATTTTATTTGTTTCCAGTATTTTTCCTATAAAATTTTATTGAACACTGTTTTCTGTTCTAAAGCAAAGTTAAAACTCATTCATATCAATGAGGAAAAGTATCTGATTTAAAGGCACAGAAAAATGGAATTGCCTTTATCTCTTTGGTGCTCCTGATCCCAGCTGCTAGTTTAAAAAAATTCTAATAACTTAATTCATTAAAAACTGGAATATCATTGGTTTTTGTAAATAGTGTTAACATTGACACAACAAATGGTTACATAACTGCTTAAAAGTGAATATAACTCGATGTGTAAGCTATATCGTTACAGCTCTTGTACATACAATATTTTCACTAATCAAAATTTGTGTTAGTGATAACAAGTAGGGAAAAAAACCTTTTCTATTTCAATGATAGCACAATCAATAGTACGTCTACATGTTTTCAATCTGTCCAATGTAACATAAGCATTTTCCCCCCTTTTATATATATATTGAATTAGAACAAAAATAAATAAACAAATAAAGCAAAAAGGAATGGAAAGGAAAAGAATTCCTAATTAATATTAAATCAATACATCAGTAGTACAAACATTTTGACTTTAAATCCATTTGTGGTATTGGGTCCATTCGGAATAGAACTGACAGTGTCGTCTGCACTAGCTAGCTCCAGGTTGCAAGATTTCTGGAGATTTGGAGGATGGAGTCTAGGAAGGGCAGAGTTTGGGGAGGGGAAGGACCTCAGTGGGGTATAATGCCATAGAGTCCACCTTCCAAAGCAGCCATTTCCTCCAGGAAACTGACCTCTGCTGGAGATCAGTTATAATCCCAGGGGATGTCCAGCAACCACTGTCAAGAAATTAGACCTTTAGTCAATTTCTTGTTCTTTCAATTAACCATACGTAGGCCTTATATTAAACTCTAGGCCTATAAGTGGGTTGAAGTGACCAAATGGGAAAACAACTGGTGTTTAGGGTTACCAAGTGCCTCATGGGGTCTGAAGATCCCCTGGGATTACAACTCATCTCCAGACTACAGAGATCAGTTCCCCTGGGGATAATGGCTACTTTGGAGGGTGGAGTCTGTGGTGTTATACCCTGCTGAGGTCCTTCCTGTCTGCAAACTTCATCATTCCCCAGGCTCCATCCCTAAAATCTCCAATAATTTCCCAGTCCAGAGTTGGTGGTTGATATGGAAGAGTTGGCAATCAAACTTGTGTCCTTTGAATAATTTTTTTTTTAAAGAGAGTAGAGAGATTCCTGGTCTGGTGTAGTTAGAAACGGCCCGTAGAAACCTCAAGAGTTAGTTAAAAACTCAAGACGAGTACTGGTGTTTCAAGAGAAGGGCTTTGGAAGAGTGTACTAGGCTTCCGGAAGCCAAAAGAGTCAGAGAATGCTCAAAGAAAGTGTATGGGAGTGTTTGGAAGACACTGGAACAAAAGCCTTTCAGCATAAAGATTTTAAGTAACTATGAATAGCTTAAGAAACTCTCATTAACCTGAAACATAAGAACTAAAGTCTATGCATGTACTGATTTTACCTCAGAGTTATCTATATTGAGTAACCTCAGAAACTTTACCCCTGATTTCACCTGACCTTTCCCCTCTATGTTGAATAAAATATTTTGTTAAATTGGAATATACAAACTTCTCTAGTGTCATTTAAGTCATATAAGTTAAAGGGGGCTCCCATTCCTTCCCTCAGGTTCCTGGGCTGAGCAAACAGCCAGAATACTATATTATGACAGGGTGGGACAGCCAGAATTCTTCAGGAAAGAAGAAAACAGACAACTAGGGCAGCTCAGTCACAAAAGAGAAAGAAAAACAGAGGGAAAATCTTGCCTCTGACCGAGGGAAGTGGATGGGGGCATCATATGGCCCATGTCACATCTAACATTATGCAAATGATGCTGGTTCATTGCCCAGTGTGCACATAGAGTTTACCACTGATGATTATCTGAAACAGCCTTTCTTCTTTGCTCATTATATCAAAGTCCAAAACAGATTTAGAAATAATCTATAATAATGTTTTTAATATGTCAGGTGCTGTAATTACTGGCTTGGTTCCAAAGTTCCCATGTGCAAATGGAGGGCCCCTCTCTTAGTACTTGGGGGGGTCACCACTTCCCCTGCACACTATATTAGATGCCTCAGGAGCAGTGCTTTAGAGGGGACACAAGGTCTTAAAGCAGGAAGTGGTCCAGAAATCCTAATTCCTGTGTAGAATCCCACAAACTGTCTTTTGGCTCCAGTCCACTGTGTTTTCTTTTTTTGTTGATCTGAAATACCTACACTGTTTGGTTATTTTGGCTGTAATAAATATCCTGTGCTGTGGGTTATATCAAAGACATGTTCATGTGACATGTGATGAGCTATTGTGTCTGAACATGTTTCTGTTACTTTTCTTGTGGAAATATTATGACAGATTTCCTGGAGCTTTTGGCAATTCAGTGTAAAGCAATGAAATGCGTATTTTCTCGGGTAATTTTTTTTTGGGGGGGGGTAAACTAAAGATTCAAACCCCCCCCCTCCCAAAATTACAGGGAAAGGACAAGTGCTTGTTTAAGAGTGTGTAACGAACAAGCAGATTTAAGCTAAAACAGGATAAAACTACAAAAAAACCAAAACTAGCATTTCATGAGTGAAAAACGTAGAATTTTCACAGCGAATGAGCTGCATTATCAGGTGTACTTACAACTGGAGCCTTTCATTTACATGATATTCCACAAGCTATTTAGATTAGGTCCAGTTTAGTAAAAGCCTTAAACTTCAGAAGGCACTGGTTGTAAAATGCTACAAAGGTTTTAAAATTAAAAAATGTGTGTAGTCAAAATTGTTTGACATGGGAATTTTCAGAGTGCAATACCAGTTGCGGATTCCCCCCACCTGCCCAGAGCTGCCATCAGAAAGAATTCTGCATGTGTTTTGAGACATGAGCATTACAGTGGCACAAGTTCCCCTGGGTAGTGGGAAACATCAACATTATGTGTCAGCGTTCAAACCAATACCTGTCAGCATTCAAAGTGTAATCAGTTTATTTATTCAACTTATATTCTGTTCCTTTCCCCGCAAACAGGGCTCACTCAGGGCAACTTCCAACAGTTAAATATACAATAAGTCAACATTTTACGGTCTTAAAACCAAATATTACAGTTAAAATCCTAACAGTCAATCAGATGGCACCCCCAACAATCACGTGGGCATCTAAAAAGGCGGTCAACACAGAAGATTCACAGCCCCCAGTGAAAGGAAAAACCAAACCCTAAAAAAGGCAAGGAAGGAGGGAAAAAAGAAGGCGACCAGGGGAGGAACATGATAAAGAAAAATAAAGCAAACAGGGTGGGAGAATGGGAAAATGGAGAAAGAGGGAGGCCAGCTGATCTCTCTAACCATCACTGTTCTCAACCACAAGCCCAGTGAAACATCTCGGTCTTACAGGCCCTGTGGAACTGAGCTAAGTCCCACAGGGCCCTCATCACACTAGACATAGAGTTCCACCAGGTTGGGGCTAGAGCCAAAAGGTTGTGGTTGAGGTCAGTCAGACCACTTTGGGGGCAGGGATTACTACACAGAGTTTATTTTTTTCAGATTGGTGGCTTGAGAACGTACGCAGTTGATAGCTGGTTCTGGATTTTCTGCTGACTTTGTATCACCTTTTGTCTGCAGATTGACTTTGAAGATGTGATCGCGGAACCCGAGGGAACTCACAGTTTCGACGGGGTCTGGAAAGCCAGCTTCACTACCTTCACTGTGACAAAATACTGGTTTTATCGCTTACTGTCTTCGCTCTTTGGCATTCCCATGGCTCTCATCTGGGGCATTTACTTTGCCATTTTGTCATTCCTCCACATCTGGGCAGTGGTGCCCTGCATCAGGAGCTATCTGATTGAGATCCAGTGTATTGGCCGAGTTTATTCCATCTGCATCCACGCCTTTTGTGACCCGCTCTATGAGGCTTTTGGCAAAATGTTCAGTTCTATCAGAGCAACAGTACGGAAGGAAGCATAAATGACATTTCAAGGAGTCTGAAGAAAAGATCTTTTCCTCCCATGCCTTTTGTGCTAGTTTCATGGCTGTCATCAGTGAACAAAGTGACTAGCACCAAACAACTGAAAATGAAGCAACCAAAATTAAGCAAAGAATCACTTGTTCAAAATTCCTTTACTACTTAACCATCCCTCCTGGATTGATATTTTTGCAGGAGAGAGATCAATCACTTTTTTTTAGAAGCCCTACTAAAATTGCTGTTCTTTCATTCCTCTCTGCCAGTCATTTTGCTGACCCTTTGACAAACTAACTCATGTTCTGCTTACCCCTTCCATTCATTTGTTGCAAGATAAATTCACAACGATATGATAAAGAGCCGCAAGCATGCTTTCTAGCGCTGTAACATTGCTCATCATTTTACAGTGAGCAAAAAAATAAAAGGGTTGAAAGCTAATTCAGCATAAAGGACGTGACAAGTTGGCAGATTTTAAACGAATGTTCTTTTTTCAGATGTATTGTCAGATGGCTGCAGCTCTTGTCCCTGTTGGGCCATATATGAGAGAGAGATCAAAGTAAATAACTCAGTTAATATATGCTTCCAGAAAACGATAGTATATTTAGAAGAAAAGCTACAGCCATTGCTCTTGTTTGTTTTATGTGTCCTCTTATTCTTTGGGAAAAATTATTTGCAGATCTTTATCATATGTCTCTAAAAGAGGTACATAAGGATACATATTTTTTTAATTTATGCTGAGTTTTACCAACAGTTTCTGTAAACTTGTATCATCAGTCCCTTACTGGTAGCCCTTGCATGTGGCTCTCTAATGAGCTGTCCCCATTTCCTGAGATCCTCATATGCAGTTGAAACACACTTGCTTCATCACTGAACTATGACTCTGACAGATTTCAATATTCAGGATCCAAATCAGAGCCAGAAATGTATTATGAATATATTTTTCTGGTCTTAGACTCCCCATTTTAGAAGCATTTCCATCAACCAGACCCCTCTTTCACTGCTGATATTATATAATGTTGCATCCCTAAGCTAATGGACATCAAAGTACTCTTTCTCGCAACATACTTGCAAACACATGTTCAAAGTGAATGAGCAAATATTATTGCATATGGACTGGTTATTATTTTTTTTAAAGATAGGAGTAATCAGTATATCCAGCTAATGCAGAGTCATGCCAACTACAAACTGGGTTTGTAGGGGTGGTTTGGTTTGGTTTGGTGGGGGTATTGTGTGAGGAGCCAGCTTTAAAATCCCCTAGTCAGCCAAGGTCAGCATGCTGCTAGTACATTCACGCTTTGCTTACTTCACACTAATCCGCCACAAGAGTTGCTTTAGCAACAGGATATTGTGAATGACTTTCCCCCCCCGCTCCTAAGCTGAACTATACACATCAATCAGGAAGCCTTCATGGAGGTGATTTGTGTGAGACTTTTGTGATTGAAAAATGCAAAAACAAAGCATTTGAAACTTTTATTTCATGCTGTGACCTGACTGAAGCTTGTACCCTCACCATAACGTAACTGCTCTGGTGAGAGAATATCCTCGGTGGCTTTGCATAGCTCTGTGTTTTTGTTTTGTTTTTAAATAGCTGTGAGGTTAAATTGGCTGGGATAAGCTTCCTTATGAATTCAAACTGAGGAATTTCAAGAGATGAACCCTGTCTCTGTTGTGGGGAGCATCCCAATAAGGTCTTGGTTTGGATCCTTAGCACAAAATCTATAGTAGCTTCAAGGTACAACTCAAGCATTATTAGTGATAACACCTTGAATAGCTCTTTATGTAGTAGGAGTGCTTGAACTCCTTTTTAAATTATATACTTAAGGTTGGATCCCACGTCACATGCAATCCTATAGTATGTAGGTTCTAGAACTGTTCTCATGCTTCAAACTATGTAAGAGGTTGCACTCTTGGATAAGCAAAATATCTTCTTTGGATTTAGCGTCACTTTTCTCTTGTAGCTTTCAAACATGAGATATAAGTTGCCTCTGCATTCAGAAATGCGCCTTTGGATCCAGCTCATAGACCATCAGCACTCCCTAGCTTGTAACATAGGCAAACTGTGACGCAAAACCCAGGACTTCCAGAACACCAGCCTCCATTTCCTTATTCAGTTACTATCCTGCCATCATCACAGGATGCATTTATAAATTGCCGTGGTGACTGAAGTCAAGATGGCTTGGACTATAGCTGCTTACCCTAATTATTCAGGAGACATGCAGAGCAAATTCCTAGGACACATGACCCCACTGTTTCTAATGTCTCAGATCACTATTATACACCATTGACCACTTAATTGAAAAATAAACATTGCAGGAAAGGCTGGTATTGTAAGATTTCCTTCTCTGAGAAAACCATGTTCTCCTAACATTTGGACAGCAAATATTCTCCAACATGATCTTTATTGCATGGAATATTAGTGTTGCTAATTGCCCCCTCTCATACTCACCTTCCCACTTCCAGTCAGTTCAACAGTGGAATTAAAGAAAAGAAAAGAAATGGTGTCCCTGATGCCGTAACATCATTTCCAGGTGAAAAGGAATCTACATCACTTCTAGATTTTCATCTGGAAATGATGACATGGCATAGGCAATGCCATTTGCCCAGGGCTCTGTCCGTAGAAGGCTTTCCAAGGTTGTCAGTGATTGGTTGGCAACCCTATGGAAGTTTCATAGGAACCAAGAAACATCCTACTTCATAATCCATGGCGTTTTTTAAAGCCTTGTTTAATTTTGATTCTGGTTTTGGGTTTTTAAAAACCAATTTAGAAGCTGAACATATGTCCACTATACTAACCAAGCAAGAGCATGCTTCTTAGGCCTTTACAAGAAAAATCGTAAACATGAGCAATGTTACTCTCCATTTTCCCTCAATAGTGTCCTGCCATTTCATGAACATGTTACCGTTTCCTTCCTTTTACTCATTTTTGGCAACTCTTTAAAGACTGTGCCCCGCCCACAGCAAGGTTTCTGGAAGCCTGGTGTGTGAATAATGTGTCACTGTTGCTGGATCAGGGCTTGCATTAGAAAATGCTAAAAAGAGCCATGCATATTCCCCATCTGGAAAATGACCCAATACTTGTGACTCATAAACTGCAGCCCAGAGCAACTTGATCCTGGTGCCAGGGTGCTCTATGAAAAGTGCATAAAGCCGCCTTGTACTGAGTCAGACCCTTGGTTCGACAAGCTTAGTACTGTCTACTTTGATGGGCAGTAGAGGGCTCTCCAAAGACAGATAAAGGTCTTTGGCAACAACTACTTCTTGAGATCCTTCTAAAGGAGGCACCAGAGGCTGAAACTTGGGACCTTCTGCATGCAAACCAAGTGCTCTTGTCCCTTAATTTCCATATACTTATAGACATTTTGACTTGACCTGGATAGCCCAGGCTAGCCCTGTCTCGTTAGATCTGCGCTGCTAAGCAGGAGACCACCTGGGTATGTGAATGGGAGACCACCAAGGAAATTCAGGATAGTTACAAAGCGACAACCTCCCTTTGTCTCTTGCCTTGAAAGACCTGTGAGGGAGTCGCCCTGCTGGCTGTGGCTTGACAGCATTTTATACACACAAATATTTTGGTTCTCAAGACCCAGGCCAGATTTGTCAACTTGACAGAGAAAAGAAAGCAGGGTGTTGCCTGTAGAGAATGTCTTACGGGGGGGGGGGGGGGGGTGTTTTTTTACGTGTACTATTGAAGTCAGTCCCAGTTAATTTGCAGTAATTCTAAATGGCACATAAATTGAAACCCTAGTTTGTTTGTTTGTTTGTTTGTTTTGCATTTAAATCAAACACTGGTCTGGCTACAGTTTTACATTTTTACTATGTACATAATGGAGAGCATTCTATTAGATATATATTTTGCTGTATAGCAACACGTCTTTGGTGAGGATGTAAACAAAATATCTTTCTAGAAGGAAAAAAAATCACTTTTGAAAGCTACTGCATCGAGCATGTATCCTGAGAGAGCTCCCAAAATGCAAATAAAACAGCTGATCCAGGATATTAACATAGCTATTGTATGCTTACAAGGTATAATAACTGACACTTTTAAAAAATCTGCATGTTCAACAAGCAAGGCTACAATCTGCACAATAAAAAACTGTTTTAATAGATGTTCCTGTCTGAATATGTATTTTTCTTAAAAGATCTGATTGCAAACACATGCCACTAGTAGCCCATGCTGAAGGAGTCAAGACAAGTTCCTTGCACCATCTGTCTTGTGATCCCACTAATGCCCCACCACACCAGCACTAGTGACTGGGCTGGCCCTAGTTCCAATGGTCCCAGGTGGTAAATATGTTTAGTGCCTTCTATTTAAATATAGTCCATGATACGTATTTCTGAAGCCCAGTTAACCCCTGTGGATTTGCCTGGGTCACTTGGCCCTAATCTGGTCCTAGTTAGGGCTTTAATACATTAATCAGTATGTGTGTGGTGGAAGACCTTATTCTATGCCCAACCATGATCCACCTAGCTCTGAACAACAGATCTGTAGTGCTGGGCAGAGGCATTTCCCAGCCTTTTAACTTAAGGTTGACTTAAAAACAGTATACATATAAAGCATTTTCTCTGCCACTAAGCTACAGTTTATCCCTGTATTTAGGTTGGAAGTTCCCCAAATAGGGGTAACTTAATTTGTATGGTATGCAAATTGTTTGCTAATTATACAAACCAAGCACTTTAATTGTTTTATCTACTAGTAGCTTTTCATCTCCTCCAATTAACTGCAACAAAAAGTTGGGGAATATTATAGAAAACATTCCCTTGCTCATGTCAGAGTTTGTTCAGGCTGTGTGTGGCTCTGCATCCGTTCAGTTAATGTACAAGTAGAAGTTTCCATGTAGGAGGTTCTTGTCTGGTTTTCTCCCAAGTTGACAGATAACTATGACAGATAACTACATTTGGCAGATAACAACATTGACAGATAACTACTAAACATATGTACTTAGGGGGGTAGTGCTTAGCCTCAGTAAAAATGGAAAATCTTCATAGTCTGCTGAAATAAGAACTGAACAGTTCTTTTGTGCACACATACCTTCTCTTAATTTCAAGGGCTTTTATTGGTTTCCATTATACATTGCCAATAAAGTGTGCCGAGGACTGCAGCCTTCACGTCTAACCCTTGTATATCCATTTAAATTGGACTGACTTTCAAACAAGAAAGCTACAGTCTTCAGCATCTCAAATATCTTTCCCTACATTTCACAGTAATAGTCTGTTGAACTATCTTCAGAAACCATTAAAAGTTTTCAAATGAAAGCAGGGGATCCAGACCAGCTAATGGGTCAAAGAGGTACTGAATGGCATATGCAGGTTCCAGTTACAATGTGGGCAACGGCAATCCTACTATAATCCAGAATTCCCTGGAAAATAGTTTATACAGATCAAACTGTAGCAGTTGCAGCAAAATGAACAATTTGTACTA